AATCTTTATTATTAATTAAGAAAAGAAAACACAAAGTAATCAATTTTTCTGATGAACACACAGTAAGTCAGTTATTAAATTTATTAAAGGATAAAAGCAAAGAAACTTTATTAACACTAAGTTAATCAAAAGTTATCTATATGTGTTTCTTCTCTCTCTTTTTCTAGCTAAGATACATGCTATTTTTATAATAATTATTTGTTACTTGATCTTCTTAATCTAGGACTAATCTATTCTATTTAGAATGAGATATAATTCATTCTATAAATTAATTTGTGGTGTTTCACACCTTTTGCTTGAGTGTAATTAATTTATTATGAATTACTATTAAGCTAATTTGGTTCTCAAAGATCGATAACATGTGTTTTTCATATTAATAATAATAATATGAAAATAATATAAACTAAAAACAAATAGTATGAATTAAAAATAAATAATATAAAAGGTATAAGATAAAATAGTATGAAATATAATGAAATTAGAACGAAATAGTATGAAATCTAAAGGATTTAGTATGAACGAAAAAGGTTATGATTTGTAAATCATATATTTACTAAATATTCAATAGAAATATACTATAAATAACATGATATATTTTATATCAGGTGTTAAATTTATCACATGGTGACAGTATGAAAAACACATGTTATTGATCTTTAAGAACCAAATTAGCTTAATAGTAATTCATAGTAAATTAATTACACTCAAGCAAAAGGTGTGAAACACCGCAAATTAGTTTATAGAATGAATTATATCTCATTCTAAATAGAATAAATTAGTTCTAGATTAAGAAGATCGAGTAACGAATAATTATTATAAAAATAGCATGTATCTTAGCTAGAAGAAAGAGAGAAGATATACATATAGATAACTTTTGATTAACTTGGTATTAATAAAGTTTCTTTGCTTTTATCCTTTAAAATTTAATAACTGACTTACTGTGTGTTCGTCAGAAGAATTGATTACTTTGTGTTTTCTTTTCTTGATTAATAATAAAGATTCTTGGTGAATCTAACTTACTTCTTGGTGAAGTATTTGTTAAAATATTAAAGAACTTTGTGTTTTATATTTCTTAAAAATCCTTTTATAAATACTTCGAATTCTTGGTGAATTCATTTAGTTCTTTGTGAACTTGTTAGATTCTTTTAGCACTTTAGTTAACAAATAATAATATTAGAAGATTATTTTATACTTTGCTTATTCCTCCACGCTTTTTTACATGACACAGTCACTGTCTACTGTTTTAGTAAAGACCTTCATCTGTAAAGATTACTAACGGTAACAACATGGAATGAAACAGGTTTTAGTTTCAGTTTCATTAAAAAGTTGATTGAATTCAAATGTTATGCTTCCTGGTGAAAGATTGGTGAGTTTAACCACGAATTGATTGCGATATTTTTTGATTGCTAGGAAGTTGTTTTTTAAATAGACTCTACAATTATCTTTTTTGATTATTATTGACCAAATATTTTGTAGGTCGAGTTGATCGTTTGTTTCTTTAAAATTAACATGTGCTGTTTGTCAACCTGCCTTTTCTCTTACTAATACTGTTTTAACTTTTTCTATAATAAATGAGGCATTATTAATATCAGTGATTGTAGTATCAAGAGAGATATCATGAATGATAATGCCAAAGGGAGCGATTTTGTTTAAGGATGATTCAGTTGGATTATATTGAATTGCTTGAATTTCAGCAAGATTTTTTAAGTGTGTAATTGCATCATTGCAATTGGATTCTAAGTTAAAATCCACTTTGAATTGATTATAATACTTATAATTTGAATGTTGAATTCTTATATGGGGCAGATTGCAACAAAACCAGACAAAGTGAACATTTGATCACATGAACTCAAAATGGCTGATGTGGCTGGAAAATGAACTAATTTAGCTGGTAACATTTTGGTGAGGCTTTGCTTGATTTATATCTGTGGCTCATACACAGCTCATGAACTAAATTTTAGTGACATTTTAGACCTATTGCAATGCGACTAAAACCCTTAGCTTTCATTATAAACCTATGGCTAAATCAACAAGCTATTTTTATACTTTTTGTATTATAAGCAAATGCAACTAGCATCTGGATATAAAAGCAAGATGAACTCACGTTCACCGAAACAAAAACACTTGCATCAAAGTATTCTCAAACTACGCAAAAAAGACTGAACATCGCGAGCAAGACATTTGCACTGTCCAAAAAAGCTCTTAATAAACATGGTTCGTTATATTCATCTGATCAAGAGTCTGCATGCAGAGAAGAATGCATTTTTCTACAAAGTTGCAGAAGCTTTTGTGCTTTTGCTCTTCCTTGTTTGGTTGCTCGCCAACAAGATCGAGTCACCTGCGATTCATACACCTGCATGCCTCCTTTCCTATATCAACAACCACCAACGAGCTGCTGCACAGAACGTGGTGGTTGACAAACTCGATGGCATCAATGAGAATCTGTGTGAAATTCGCAGCAATTGTAACTGGGTTAGACCACATAACAACCATCAAAAGTCTAGCCCTCCCAAACCAACCAAATCGTATGATGGAGACGTTTTAACTCTCTGGAACAAGTTTGCTCACCTCTTTGATGCAAAGAGAAAACTCAATGACATTAGCCTGTCTGAAATGTACTGCAAGGTTAAGGGTGAGATCGATAACCTAGAGAGGGGTACCATCGGAACCTCTATGTTGGAGAACTTTTACAAATGTAGAACGAATCCCAAACCCAAAACCTTAAAAGTGATAGCGTCATGGATAGAAAACGAGAGGAGAGAGTATGACGAGGAGAATTACAAAATTAATAGTTGAGCGAGCCCAAAGAATAGGGACAGTTATCGCCGTTCAAGGCAGACTGCTTCTCTCCCTTGCAAGCTCGCGATTGCTTTAGAAGGGTTTATTATAAATATATTATTAATATTATTGCTCGTTTACGCAATAAAAATCAAGCTGATGTAATCTCCACGTGACTCCTTTGTTTAAATTTTCCCATCCCACTTCGTCGACGTGTTTCGCTTAATAACTTGTGTTCTAACTGTAACGTGCTTGCGATCGTATTCTACTGCCTTGCAGTCGGTTTACTTCTTACGCGTCACGACAAACAGCGAGATACAGCATGGAGCTTCAGAAAGTTTTGAACAAAATAATCGAGGCAAACCCAAGCGTAAGTTGTCCCGTACAAACTGGTTTTTCTGAGCTTGCAAACTGTTAAGCGCAATGGTAGCACAGTCGGTGCCTCTCAATACTGAAGAGAGGTTTACACTGCCATAACCCATTGCGTAAGGCTACGGTCGCACAGTTTGCAAGGGTTGGTTAAGCGCAATGGTAGCACAGTCGGTGCCTCTCAATACTGAAGAGAGGTTTACACTGCCATAACCCATTGCGTAAGGCTACGGTCGCATCAACCTTCCTCGGAGTGTAGACTTCCGCCACTATCATGTCATGTTCTGTTTGTATGAAAAGCTCTGCTAGCAATCTTTCTGTTCTTTTATTACATGGGTTTTAGCTTTCCGAAACACAAAGATCCTGTATCACATGGCTATTACAGTCCTTCAATCCGGTGCCCTTGGAATTTTATCGATTTTTAAATCGGAAAACGAAACATACTGCAGTCAGTGGGTATCTTTCAGCACTTTCACATGTCTTGGAGATGTCGGACGACATGCCTGAAGAAAAGAGGGTCTTGTTTGGAGAGATCCAACAAAAATGGAAGGTGAGAATACCTGTATGAGTGCGCGTGCTGTCTTTTCTTTTAATGAGTTGTTTCCTTATATATGCATTACAGGACGGCATGTTCAACAGCGACTGGACAGTATATGCGGCAGAACGGTCAGCACTATCATCTGTCAAAACAAGCATCTCCGTCCAGAAAGACTTCAATAGTGAAGTTTCGTCTCACTGCACTAAGGTAAGAATTTTTTTTAAAATTTTCAATGTCATCCTAATCCATGATTGACCACTGTGTTATTAGAAGCGGAAATATGACCCATCGACGCCAAATAAACCAGTGATCAGGGTCGACATGGAAGGATTGTCAGTTAGTTTACCCATTTTTTGATTCGTTTCGCCACATATCCTGCACTGCAATAATTTTCTCCACTGCATATGACCAATAGATACCCTCAGATATCATTCGAAAAGAAAATTAGGTTCGCTGCAAGTGAATCCAACAACGATGAAGCAACCGCCAGTAGCGAAACAGGTTCTCTGTTAAATCCATTCGAAGTCCCTCAAGGAACGGAAACGGACAGCGGACAGAACCAGATTGCTACTTGGCGCAAGTGGTTAGAGTACATCCTTGAGGTCAGTACATGGACGCAGTTTACAGGAAGTACCGTCAAATTATTGTGATCTTACCTCCTATTATGTTTGCAGGTTCCCATAGAGGATGTAAGGATAAAAATTCTGACACTCCCATATAGCAATAAGAATAAGTTTGAAGCGACTATGATTCAATACATTGGCAAAGTGCTAATGGATTTGTGAGTTCCTTTTCAAATTTCAGATATGTGTAACAATTTTTTTTTAATGCCATATAACAATAATGATAATCAAATAGCGTTAACAAAGTCATTGATGTCCCTGGCAATGTCCTATTCATTGATGATATTGAGCGAGACTGGATCATCAGTAAGCTGTCACCACTCTTTGTTTATCTAGAAGCCACATTCATAAATCGAGTCCGATTCCACTGGCAAGTGTTGTTCTTTGATAAGGTTTCAATTAATATTTTAATGTTTCAAATCGTGAGCTAATTATGCGTTTATTCATTGTAAACTAGGGTTGAGCACGATATAGAGCCTACTCACGAGCGTCTCGTCCGTGATGGTAACACCACCAACAAAGACCGGCTGAAAGCTGACATGGTTGGCGTTCGGCTTTGTGACAACCGGCAAATAGTGTTTTTAGAAATGAGTGGAGCACCCACGGACTTTTTACAACCGCATACCATTACGGACGTTCATAAGACGATTCAAGAACGAATTGATGCGGTCAATTCGTTGCTATTGGATTTCTTAGATTATGATGTGCGATATGCGGGGAAGATTCGTTCGCTAACTGTTCAGGGAATCAGTGAGTATAATCTTTAGTTGATAATTATTCAAATAATTCAAAAAACTTTTTTTAACCTTTGTACCCTAGGAGATCGGCTTACATTACGATCAATTTTTTTAAGAGGGAAGGAGGATTACGTTGATGAGGAGATTTTATCAGCAATATTCCCACTTAGTTGGGAGCTCCGCTTCCAATTTTTGGAAATATTTGAACTAACTGAATATATAATGCTATCAATTATAGAATACCCAAATGTGATAAAAGAGCTGAGAAAGCATCGTGCAGACTCTCTGGAATTTTCTATTAGGCATTGTCTTTCAAATTAGCTTTATTCAATAAAAAGTTTGTAAATAATAACATTCTGTTGTTAAATTGGTGATGTATTGCTACAGCCTGGCACATGTTTCCCAGCGACTGTTGCTGCTCTGGTATCTTCACCTGAATTTGCAACCTTTCACTATCTACTTCTTTTGTTTGCATTCATCTTTGCTCTACCATAGCAATTTATTGTTCAAGAATGTTCCATGTCAAGAAACTTTCACCAAGACACCAGCAAGCTTTTCTTTAAATAATTGTGAATGTTTATTTTTTAGTTGATTATAAAAACACAGGCAAGTCATTTGGATGCTAATTATGTTTTCTCCCTTTGAATGTTTCTCTTTCATCTTCTCTGACTGAACACATTTAAAAGATTAGGTTTTTTAGACCTGGGCAACCAAGAATCTTGTGTGAAACAGGGACTGAGGGCTCTTGACATGACAATGATTTAACCTCATGTGTGAATATTTGGATTACTGTCATTGTCTTTATGATCCCATATCCTATTTTATGGTATGTGGCTGTTACAAAGCAACAACAAGATTCTTCTATTGCCCTGTAAAAAAAAATAAAAGACAAAAATCAAGAAAAAATCCAGTTTTTTAGTTCCAAAAATCACAAGTTTTGTTAACAAAATTTCCAGATTAAAATCTAATAAAAATCTGATTAAAAATCCAGAAACTTTGGGACATGATATTTCGTGAATCACAAATCCAATCCGGACGAAAATATCATCATTCGATTCATCTAGTCTTGGCGAATCAAATGGTGGTATTTTTGTCCGAATTGGATCTGTGGTTCACAAGATATCACGTCCCAAAGTTACCAGATCAATTTTTTTGATTTTTTTATTTAAAATTAAAATAAATGCATTATTTCCAAACACACT